GGCTTACCCCTTACCGTTTTAAATTTTTGGATAAAAACGTGTTTTTGCCCCTTTTTGATAAAAATGAAAGGCTAATCCCTTACCGTTTTAAATTCTGGATAATAACGTGTTTTTGCCCCTTTTTAATAAAAATGCAAGGTTAACCCCTTATCGTTTTAAATTTTGGATAAAAACGTGTTTTTGCCTCTTTTGGATAAAAATGCAAGGCTAACCCCTTACCGTTTTAAATTTTGGATAAAAATGTGTTTTGCCCCTTTTTGATAAAAATGCAAGGCTAACCCCTTACTGTTGTAAATTATGGATAAAATTGTGTTTTTGCCCCTTTTTGATAAAAATTCAAGGCTAACCCCTTACTGTTGTAAATTTAGGATAAAAAGTGTTTTTGCCTCTTGTTGATTAAAATGCAATTTTAACCCCTTACCGTTTTAAATTTTGGATAAAAATGTGTTTCCCTTTGGATAAAAATGCAAGGCTAACCCCTTACCGTTGTAAATTTTGGATAAAAATGTGTTTTTGCTCCTTTTTGATAAAAATGCAAGGCTAACCCCTTACCGTTTAAAATTTTGGATAATAACGTGTTTTTGCCCCTTTTTAATAAAAATGCAAGGTTAACCCCTTATCGTTTTAAATTTTGGATAAAAACGTGTTAGTTTGCCTCTTTTGGATAAAAATGCAAGGCTAACCCCTTACCGTTTTAAATTTTGGATAAAAATGTGTTTCCCTTTGGATAAAAATGCAAGGCTAACCCCTTACCGTTGTAAATTTTGGATAAAAATGTGTTTTTGCTCCTTTTTGATAAAAATGCAAGGCTAACCCCTTACCGTTTAAAATTTTGGATAATAACGTGTTTTTGCCCCTTTTTAATAAAAATGCAAGGTTAACCCCTTATCGTTTTAAATTTTGGATAAAAACGTGTTAGTTTGCCTCTTTTGGATAAAAATGCAAGGCTAACCCCTTACCGTTGTAAATTTTGGATAAAAATGTGTTTTTACCTTGTGCTTTGGTGCTTAAAATTCAAGAACTTGTCAGAGTAATGATGTGATTATTGAAGAAATAAAGAGAAACAAAATGGAAATAAAAGCTTTTATACCTTGTGTGTTCACTTTATTTTGCATTTGTCCAATAGCAATTGTTTAATAGCTTAAAATAAGGAAAAAGAATGATTTAATGAATATTCATCAGGAAATCAATGAATATTCATAAGGTGAAATATATAATGAGTATGAACAAATGATGGTATAGCTGAAAAGTGGTTTCACCACTGAATATTCATCAGGAAATCAATGAATATTCATAAGGCGAAATATATAATGAGTATGAACAAATGATGGTATAGCTGAAAAGTGGTTTCACCACTGAATATTCATCAGGAAATCAATGAATATTCATAAGGCGAAATATATAATGAGTATGAACAAATGATGGTATAGCTGAAAAGTGGTTTCACCACTGAATATTCATAAGGCGAAATATATAATGAGTATGAACAAATGATGGTATAGCTGAATATTCATAAGGCGAAATATATAATGAGTATGAACAAATGATGGTATAGCTGAAAAGTGGTTTCACCACTGAATATTCATAAGGCGAAATATATAATGAGTATGAACAAATGATGGTATAGCTGAATATTCATAAGGCGAAATATATAATGAGTATGAACAAATGATGGTATAGCTGAAAAGTGGTTTCACCACTGAATATTCATAAGGCGAAATATATAATGAGTATGAACAAATGATGGTATAGCTGAATATTCATAAGGCGAAATATATAATGAGTATGAACAAATGATGGTATAGCTGAAAAGTGGTTTCACCACTGAATATTCATAAGGCGAAATATATAATGAGTATGAACAAATGATGGTATAGCTGAATATTCATAAGGCGAAATATATAATGAGTATGAACAAATGATGGTATAGCTGAAAAGTGGTTTCACCACTGAATATTCATAAGGCGAAATATATAATGAGTATGAACAAATGATGGTATAGCTGAAAAGTGGTTTCACCACTGAATATTCATCAGGAAATCAATGAATATTCATAAGGCGAAATATATAATGAGTATGAAAAAATGATGATATAGTTGAAAAGTGGTTTCGGACCCAAAATTCGGACCCAAAATTCGGACCCAAAATTCGGACCCAAAATTCGGACCCAAAATTCGGACCCAAAATTCGGACCCAAAATTCGGACCCAAAATTCGGACCCAAAATTCGGACCCAAAATTTGATGCATGCAGGACCTGAACCCACAACGCCTGGGTTTCCAGTCACAACTACTAACCAGTGCACTACTTGGGTCCCCCCAGTACATTTCCCTATTTTATAAACTTAGCTCTTAGGTTCCCTAAATAAATTTCAATAACAGTGCTTCCACACTTAGCCACACACAACTCTGAAACTCTCTTACAAATTCTAATATTTCAACTTCCTGTCTATTTATTTTTTTGAAAAAAAAAAAATCTACCATCCAGATTGCTCTTTCTTTTTTTTTGACAAACAAAAAAAGGCAAACAATTGTGTTTTTTTGGAGCTACAAATCAAATTGTTTGATCCAATCATAATTATTCTAATAGTGCATTGGAACTTAACAGATCATGTTTTTCAGCTGGCTACAGTTCAATTCCACACATCTCGAGAGAAGACGCATTAACAAAAACATTGTAATTACTGATGACTGATTTGATTTATTGAAATAATTATGACCGACAGAACAATTCATACACAAGAGAAAAGTAAATAATAACAGGAATAATTTGTACAGAAAACCACTGCCTTGCGATGCCATGGATAGTTAGAAAGGCAGTTTCAATAATGTTACATAGTACAGACTTCATACATTGTTAATATGTACTCTGAAATTATTCTACAGTACTATTTACAGCTTTTATACAAATGTGCATAAACACAGCATTGGTAGTTAATTTTAACGGATAATTTCAATAAAATCATTTGAAATACTTCCATGTGTAGCTATGGTTGGTCATTTTTTGGTCCATAAAATATTAATCCTTCAAAAAAGTGTAAGATTTAAACTGAAAACTGTCCCATTCATTATTGCTAATTTCCTGTTAACGTTTAAAGGCACATTTTGCTTGTTTCGCTGAACAAAAACAATATAATGTACATTATTGTTGATTCCTCTGACAAATGCACTTAGTTTCTAACATTAGGTGTTTTTCAACTAACCTCAAAACTTAAACGTCATTTTTTCATAAAAAAATCAAACATAATTTCAGTGTTATCCCAATTATAGTTTTCTTCTCTACACATTTCCCTTCGCATCTGGGAAATAAATTTACCTCTTTTTTTCCGTTCAAACCATGAAACCACAGATACTTTATAGTTACTTATAAAACTAGAGACTTATGAAATAAATAATTTTGGAATCTGTTGAAGTCTGTGGTGTTACATAACCATCAGAATGCACATCTATCAGCCTCATTTCAACAATATGGATGACTGTATGTTACACACTGAGTGCGTTTGATTATTTTCCCCAGCTTACTCGCACTTGGCTCGCGTGATGACAGACATGCGCAGTGGAGCTAAATAAACGAACGGTTCCGGGTTAAGTTTTGTGCAAGGAGCTGGAAAGTTGAACTTTGACATGACACTGAGGCTGCATCCGAATCAAGTGTCTAGCTCTGCGCCCACTGAAAATAGCGGCGGGTACGCACTGACAATAGACGTAGCCGTGGCTCTGGAAGCCTGTTTCGGACACGGCCTGAGGCGCCCGCCGAACGTCACGTTGGCAGCCGTGTTCATTGTATGGCCTTATGGGATACTTACCCAAGTAACTGGCTCGGTGAGTCGGTTACTTGGGCCAAGCTTGAGTAAGCACGAGAAGTCACGTGAGAGGTCAATCGAATGCTGTCGTGCTTGCACGAGTAAGCGTGGGGGAAGTAATCGAACGCACTAAAATTAAGCAAAGCTTACCTGAATAACCCTTAAGCACTGAAGAAAGATCTTTTGCTGTTAATCCCTCAACCGTTTTAAAGTACAGTATGATTTTCTCTTCAAATATGAAAAGTCTTACTTTGCAGTACTTCAAGTCTATTCCATCCCTGTGAAGCACCAGCAAGGTAGTGATCGATGTACTTGGTGCAGTCCTTCTCCTGGGCCGCATAGTGCCTCTCAAGGGAGCTCTGTTCTGAGTCTCTTCCATCCCTGCGAAGCACCAGCAAGGTAGTGATGTGTACTTGGTGCGGTCCTTCTCCTGGGCCGCATAGTGCTCCTCAATGGAGCTCTGTTCTGAGTCTCTTCCATCCCTGTGATGAAGCACCAGCAAGGTAGTGATGTATATGTACTTGATGCGGTCCTCCTCCTGAGCCGTACAGTGCTTCTCAAGAGAGCTCTGGTCTGAGTCTGTTCTAGCCGTGAGAAGCAGTCCTTCTCCTGGGCCGTATAGTGCTTCTCAAGGGAGCTCTGGTCTGAGTCTGTACCATCCCTGTGAAGCATCAGCAAGGTAGTGATGTACTTGGTGCGGTCCTTCTCCTGGGCCGTATAGTGCTTCTCAAGGGAGCTCTGGTCTGAGTCTGTTCCATCCCTGTGAAGCATCAGCAAGGTAGTGATGTACTTGGTGCGGTCCTTCTCCTGGGCCGTATAGTGCTTCTCAAGGGAGCTCTGGTCTGAGTCTGTTCCATCCCTGTGAAGCATCAGCAAGGTAGTGATGTACTTGGTGCGGTCCTTCTCCTGGGCCGTACAGTGCTTCTCAAGGGAGCTCTGGTCTGAGTCTGTTCCATCCCTGTGAAGCACCAGCAAGGTAGTGATGTACTTGGTGCGGTCCTTCTCCTGGGCCGTATAGTGCTTCTCAAGGGAGCTCTGGTCTGAGTCTGTTCCATCCCTGTGAAGCACCAGCAAGGTAGTGATGTACTTGGTGCGGTCCTTCTCCTGGGCCGTACAGTGCTTCTCAAGAGAGCTCTGGTCTGAGTCTGTTCTAGCCGTGAGAAGCAGTCCTTCTCCTGGGCCTTATAGTGCTTCTATAGTGCTTCTCAAGAGAGCTCTCTGATGTGAAGTGAGCTGGTAGATCTGCCATCACCTGGTCAAGAAATTTGAATATTGTCAATTTGGGAAAAAATGTTTGATACTGATTGAGCGATTAACTTGTATTCATTATTAGCTATCCTGCAAATTCGAGTGGAACAAGGTTAAAAAAAAAATAGGTTAACCAGTTTGCATCGGATAACGTGTATACAAACAAAGATTTTGCGGTATTCGTAGCGGATGCCAGATGAACAAGAATGATAGCTGAGTCCTATAAATACAGATGTCAAATTGGTTCAGAGAACTCTTGGAGTTTTTAAGAATAAATTATTGTTTCACTGAAGAAGAAGTGTCTTTGCTCCCTTATTAGTCCCATCCTTGTAGATAGGATAGGATGCCTGGTTATATATCTTTGATACAAACGAATCCGGGAAATATAAATTTATAGTGACTTGGCATCATTACATCTTGCAAGGTGACAAAAGAAAGTCCTGAATAGCGCCCTCTACGCCACCTCACCCGGCCGCAGCATTACATGACAAAAACAATGAAAAAAGCCCATTGGTTTTACTTTAAACATGCCTTAGACCTTACTCCATATTTTTTATACAATTTCCTTAAAAAAAGTTAAAACATAAGTAGTAACTATCAAAGGTTATTAATATCACTCAATCTGAAAATAAAAAGAAAACAAAAATCCCCCACTTACATTATTGTCCATTCAGCCATAAAAAATCGTTGCGCGTCAATTTTGATCTGTTAAGTCAATTTCTTTTTTTTCTTTAAAATTTTCTGTAGCTACAACAGTGCCCTTTAGTGCTGCACCGCCTCAAATATTTAGCACTAAGGAGCACAAGGGCACCAAGGCAAATGATAGGGCACCAAGTCAAATGATGTAGGCCCATATGAGAACTCAAACAAACAAAGCAGTACCACTTTGCTATTTTTTCCCAAGCTTGGATGGTACAGACAAAGAATATTTTTTTCAACGCATCACTAGTTTGAATACAATTTAATACCAAATTAGTGACTCTCAACAGTATAGTTATGAACTCACAGTCTGTTTGTTTGATGACGGAATTTTTGTTACAACTTCCACATGGTAGTAGATTAAAAGGCGACTACAAAATACTTCAGTCTGTGTAAAAAAAAAAAAATAGGCGACTTGATCAAAGTTACTTATTGTACAAGTGCGATTAGGCCTAAACCTTTTTTTTCCTGAATCTTTTTCTTAAAGTTGCTAAATGAAAGCTGTAATCGCGAACAACAAATCTGTTGGTAAACACACAATTGGGTGTTAATTTGAATTTGTTGTTAGGTTTTTCAAATAGACCTACAAATGCTGTGATATAATACACATGTAGCTGATTATGCTTTTTACCTCTTTACAAAAAATTGCTGATCCAAATGCGTTGCAGATAATGTTGGGATAATATTCTGGTTGTTAACAAGTTTTGTTTGGGTGGCTTGATTTGGTCGATCTTGTAGCTTGGATCATGTCCCTCGAGCCAGTACGTCAGGCTTTCACCTTTGCCCTGAAATAAAAGAAAGGAAAAAGATAAGAGATTGGTTGAAACAGTTATCTCATGTTTCCTTTGAAATATGATGGACTTGAGAATTTGCAGCAGTGAAAATTGAAGGAAGGGTAGATCATTTGTCATTTGTGATTTTTTTCCCATTTGAAGCAACAAACGTGCTCAAAATCTAAAGATAAGTGCTTAACAACTACCCCAAATGATAAAAGATATGTGAATGCTGTGTTTTCAGAGGAAACAATATTCTAGGATCTCAATTTCTATTCAAAAGTTGCTGAGACACGTTTGTTCTCATTCAGCTGATTGAAGCTTTGCAATGTTGCACACTAAACCGCTGAATGAGTCATGTCAATGCGTGTGCACACCCATTCACAGATTAGTCCGATCACAAACAAACTAAACAAAAACTTCCAAAAAATATGTCATTTGACACACTATTTAGAAATGGCCTTCTTTTATTGTGTTCTTCACAATGACAACATGTAATGCCAGAGAGAATAATTTCACTTGTGGCTGGACTTGTGATGTACCTGTGACTAAACTTGTAATGTACTTGTGACTGGACTTGTGATGTACTTGTGACTAGACTTGTAATGTACTTGTGACTGGACTTGTAATGTACTTGTGACTGGACTTGTGATGTACTTGTGACTAGACTTGTAATGTACTTGTGACTGGACTTGTGATGTACTTGTGACTAGACTTGTAATGTACTAGTGACTGGACTTGTGATGTCCTTGTGACTACACTTGTGATGTACTTGTGACTGGACTTGTGATGTACTTGTGACTAGACTTGTAATGTACTTGTGACTAGACTTGTGGCTGGACTTGTGACTAGACTTGTAATGTACTTGTGGCTGGACTTGTGATGTACTTGTGGCTGGACTTGTAATGTATTTGTGGCTGGACTTGTGATGTACTTGTGACTAGACTTGTAATGTACTTGTGACTGGACTTGTGATGTACTTGTATCTGGACTTGTGATGTACTTGTGACTAGACTTGTAACGTACTTGTGACTGGACTTGTGATGTACTTGTGACTAGACTTGTAATGTACTTGTGGCTGGACTTGTGATGTACTTGTGACTAGACTTGTAATGTACTTGTGACTGGACTTGTGATGTACTTGTGACTAGACTTGTAATGTACTTGTGACTGGACTTGTGATGTACTTGTGACTAGACTTGTAATATACTTGTGACTGGACTTGTGATGTGCTTGTGACTAGACTTGTAATGTACTTGCGACTGGACTTGTGATGTACTTGTGACTAGACTTGTAATGTACTTGTGACTGGACTTGTGATGTCCTTGTGACTAGACTTGTGATGTACTTGTGACTGGACTTGTGATGTACTTGTGACTAGACTTGTAATGTACTTGTGACTAGACTTGTGATGTACTTGTGACTAGACTTGTAATGTACTTGTGGCTGGACTTGTGATGTACTTGTGACTAGACTTGTAATGTACTTGTGACTGGACTTGTGATGTTCCTGTGACTGGACTTGTGATGTACTTGTGACTAGACTTGTAATGTACTTGTGGCTGGACTTGTGATGTACTTGTAACTAGACTTGTAATGTACTTGTGGCTGGACTTGTGATGTACTTCTGACTAGACTTGTAATGTACTTGTGACTGGACTTGTGATGTACTTGTGACTAAACTTGTGATGTACTTGTGACTGGACTTGTGATGTACTTGTGACTAGACTTGTGATGTACTTGTGACTGGACTTGTGATGTACTTGTGACTAGACTTGTAATGTACTTGTGGCTGGACTTGTGATGTCCTTGTGACTAGACTTGTAATGTACTTGTGACTGGACTTGTGATGTCCTTGTGACTAGACTTGTGATGTACTTGTGACTGGACTTGTGATGTACTTGTGACTAGACTTGTAATGTACTTGTGGCTGGACTTGTGATATCCTTGCGACTAGACTTGTAATGTACTTGTGGCTGGACTTGTGATGTACTTGTGGCTGGACTTGTAATGTACTTGTGGCTGGACTTGTGATGTACTTGTGACTAGACTTGTAATGTACTTGTGGTTGGACTTGTGAAGTACTTGTGACTAGACTTGTAATGTACTTGTGGCTGGACTTGTGATGTACTTGTGACTGGACTTGTGATGTACTTGTGACTGGACTTGTAATGTACTTGTGACTGGACTTGTGATGTTCCTGTGATTGGACTTGTGATGTACTTGTGACTTAACTTGTAATGTACTTGTGGCTGGACTTGTGATGTACTTGTGGCTAGACTTGTAATGTACTTGTGGCTGGACTTGTGATGTACTTGTGACTAGACTGTGATGTACTTGTGACTAGACTTGTAATGTACTTGTGGCTGGACTTGAGATGTACTTGTGACTAGACTTGTAATGTACTTGTGGCTGGACTTGTGATGTACTTGTGACAAGACTTGTAATGTACTTGTGACTGGACTTGTGATGTCCTTGTGACTAGACTTGTGACTGGACTTGTGATGTACTTGTGACTAGACTTGTGACTAGACTTGTAATGTACTTGTGGCTGGACTTGTGATGTACCTGTGACTAAACTTGTAATGTACTTATGACTGGACTTGTGATGTACTTGTGACTAGACTTGTAATGTACTTGTGACTGGACTTGTGATGTACTTGTGACTAGACTTGTAATGTACTTGTGACTGGACTTGTGATGTCCTTGTGACTAGACTTGTGATGTACTTGTGACTAGACTTGTGATGAACTTGTGACTAGACTTGTAATGTACTTGTGACTGGACTTGTGATGTACTTGTGACTAGACTTGTAATGTACTTGTGACTGGACTTGTGATGTACTTGTGACTAGACTTGTAATGTACTTGTGACTGGACTTGTGATGTACTTGTGACTAGACTTGTAATGTACTTGTGACTGGACTTGTGATGTACTTGTGACTAGACTTGTAATATACTTGTGACTGGACTTGTGATGTGCTTGTGACTAGACTTGTAATGTACTTGTGGCTGGACTTGTGATGTACTTGTGACTAGACTTGTAATGTACTTGTGACTGGACTTGTGATGTCCTTGTGACTAGACTTGTGACTGGACTTGTGATGTACTTGTGACTAGACTTGTGACTAGACTTGTAATGTATTTGTGGCTGGACTTGTGATGTACCTGTGACTAAACTTGTAATGTACTTGTGACTGGACTTGTGATGTACTTGTGACTAGACTTGTAATGTACTTGTGACTGGACTTGTGATGTACTTGTGACTAGACTTGTAATGTACTTGTGACTGGACTTGTGATGTCCTTGTGACTAGACTTGTGATGTACTTGTGACTGGACTTGTGATGTACTTGTGACTAGACTTGTAATGTACTTGTGGCTGGACTTGTGATATACTTGTGACTAGACTTGTAATGTACTTGTGGCTGGACTTGTGATGTACTTGTGGCTGGACTTGTAATGTACTTGTGGCTGGACTTGTGATGTACTTGTGACTAGACTTGTAATGTACTTGTGACTGGACTTGTGATGTCCTTGTGACTAGACTTGTGACTGGACTTGTGATGTACTTGTGACTAGACTTGTGACTAGACTTGTAATGTACTTGTGGCTGGACTTGTGATGTACCTGTGACTAAACTTGTAATGTACTTGTGACTGGACTTGTGATGTACTTGTGACTAGACTTGTAATGTACTTGTGACTGGACTTGTGATGTACTTGTGACTAGACTTGTAATGTACTTGTGACTGGACTTGTGATGTCCTTGTGACTAGACTTGTGATGTACTTGTGACTAGACTTGTGATGTACTTGTGACTGACTTGTAATGTACTTGTGGCTGGACTTGTGATGTACTTGTGACTAGACTTGTAATGTACTTGTGACTGGACTTGTGATGTACTTGTGACTAGACTTGTAATGTACTTGTGACTGGACTTGTGATGTACTTGTGACTAGACTTGTAATGTACTTGTGACTGGACTTGTGATGTGCTTGTGACTAGACTTGTAATGTACTTGTGACTGGACTTGTGATGTACTTGTGACTAGACTTGTAATGTACTTGTGACTAGACTTGTGATGTACTTGTGACTAGACTTGTAATGTACTTGTGGCTGGACTTGTGATGTACTTGTGACTAGACTTGTAATGTACTTGTGACTGGACTTGTGATGTACTTGTGACTGGACTTGTGATGTACTTGTGACTGGACTTGTGATGTACTTGTGACTAGACTTGTAATGTACTTGTGACTGGACTTGTAATGTACTTGTGACTGGACTTGTGATGTACTTGTGACTAGACTTGTAATGTACTTGTGACTGGACTTGTGATGTACTTGTGACTAGACTTGTAATGTACTTGTGACTGGACTTGTGATGTCCTTGTGACTAGACTTGTGATGTACTTGTGACTGGACTTGTGATGTACTTGTGACTAGACTTGTAATGTACTTGTGACTAGACTTGTGATGTACTTGTGACTAGACTTGTAATGTACTTGTGGCTGGACTTGTGATGTACTTGTGGCTGGACTTGTGATGTACTTGTGACTTAACTTGTAATGTACTTGTGGCTGGACTTGTGATGTACTTGTGGCTAGACTTGTAATGTACTTGTGGCTGGACTTGTGATGTACTTGTGACTGGACTTGTAATGTACTTGTGGCTGGACTTGTGATGTACTTGTGACTAGACTTGTAATGTACTTGTGACTGGACTTGTGATGTACTTGTGACTAGACTTGTAATGTACTTGTGACTGGACTTGTGATGTACTTGTGACTAGACTTGTAATGTACTTGTGACTGGACTTGTGATGTACTTGTGACTAGACTTGTAATGTACTTGCGACTGGACTTGTGATGTACTTGTGACTAGACTTGTAATGTACTTGTGACTGGACTTGTGATGTCCTTGTGACTAGACTTGTGATGTACTTGTGACTGGACTTGTGATGTACTTGTGACTAGACTTGTAATGTACTTGTGACTAGACTTGTGATGTACTTGTGA